TGGTCAATATATATTGTCTAGCTTAAGGTAGCAATGCCCTAAGAAATATCCTCCTTTTACAGAGGCCATGAATCAAGCGAGCACTCTGATTTTCTGCATTATTTTATGGTAGTAAGTGTAGCTCAGTGATAAAAGTTTAAATTGTTTACAAATACATTTTGATAATATTCACTGAACATACTCTGATCATCTGACGCGCCCACTTCAGTTCAGATGGTAGCCTATATAAAGTATGACACGACTTCAATAATTATAGAAAGTGTGTCGTGGTTTTTGAGGTACAAATGAGGTTTTGCACTGTCTGCATGGTCACATCACCATGGCAGCATCTGTGATGCTAACGAGACTGGTGTCCTGGAGAGGGTCCACTAAAGGGACTGTGTCTGTGACAGTCTTGTTAGTCAGACATCAAACTGTAGAAGACATAAAAGTAAGTTGGAGGAAAGAATTGTACAAAAGTAGGTCTCGCTTACTTAAGTTACAAAAGTGTGGAAGTTACTGTCTAGACGATGGCGAGATAATGCTGAGGAGAGAAAACTGTCACCACCAGATAGATCCAAACCACTGATACGTATGTGTTATAGATAAGAAATCAAATCAGCAGTCCTCTTGCATCTTTAAGCCTTTTAAAGTTTAAAGCTCAAAGCACTTTCTTGTGCTGTCCTGTGTTCTTTTCAGGAGTTCGCAGCTGCCATGTAGCTGACTGAGTTTGCTTTGTCAAGCGCATTGTGAAGTGTTGAATCAAAGAACTGCTTTGTTTTATTGCATATCTGTCCCTCCAGAGGTGGAACGAGCAGAAGGAGAGTTAAAAGAAAGAACCTGAGACCCACATAGTACAGTGATAGAGCTAATTTAGACATTCTGCCATGAAGGCTGCAAGATAGAAAGAGGGGATAAGGGATCAATGTGGATGAGAAAGCAAAAGAAAGAGAAAGCAGTAAACTGAGAGATGTACTGGAGTTACGCAGGACGAATGGATAGTGGACAAACTGAAGGACGTGGTAAATTTGGTCAAATACCACCAAGACGACTTCTTCACTAAGCCAACAAAAAAATGGCAAAATAGCACAAAGAGCAGACCAGTGATGGCTAACATTACTTTTAAAAATAACATTTTACATTAGAATATTAGTGTACTTTAAAAAGAAACAATTTTGCTTCAGTGCTACTGAGAAAAATAATATTTTAAGTTAATTTTGTATTACCTTTATTAAACATTACTTTGCAGTTACTTGCTTGGAAAAAAAGCTTCTGGGCTTCTTTAAGTTTCTTGAAGACGTTTCATCTGAGAAGCTTCTTCAGTTCTAAGAGCAATTGGTGGAGAGTCCCAGATTTTAAGCCCTATGGGAGTGTCCCCCCAAGACGGTCATGGACCCCCTATTGATCCTCTACCTAATCACATGAGTCAAGGTGTGAACCACAGTGAGCACCCCCCCCATCATGTAATTTCCTGAGGTCAGATGGCCCAGGATGTGAGTGGGCGTTAAGGCGTCTGAGAAGGGAACTCAAAACTGGATTATAGATGGCAGACAGTGGGTGACATAAACCACCGCCTCTGTTCAAAGATGGCCATTCACACTGGACATAGACATAGAAAGACTCCTCTTTCAAACCGTCTGTCTTCTCTGTCCAAGATGAGAACATTGGCATCCTCGAAAGAGTGACCTTTGTCACCAAATGCTCTTAGAACTGAAGAAGCTCCTCGGATGAGAGGTGAAACGTCTTCAACGTCTTATATTGGGCAGTGTGTTGCCCACTGTCCATCTCTCCATGAGTGTAATTATTTATATGAATAGTGGAATCATTGAGTCTTAATGTTGTAAAAAGTAATGTTAAGTCAAGTAAAGTGGCTGTATTGCCATTCCAACCATGTGCAGTGGTTTAGTACACAGTGAAGTGAGACGACGTTCCTCTAAGACCATGGTGCTATATATGACATATAACATCAACACAGGGTTACATAAATGTGCAAAAATTACAAAAAAATAAAACAAAGACAGTGCAACACCAGACAGAACAGAACGATACACACACCCGACAGTGCAGACACACTGGAAGTAAGTCAATAATGTTGCCTACTGAGAAAAGTAACTCCAAGTACTTCTATGTTACTGAAAACAGCTCTTTGCCATTAGCTTGAGTACACTGACTACATTGTCCAGGAGTTGCTTACCCTAGAGTACATTTATTTCTGAGTGTATGGATTTTATTTCATTGCATGCCAACAACAAGCTTATTAATTTCCCCTGGAGTAACAATCTGAACTCAAAGCTAGCCAGGGATTTTCTTTTGTCTCACAAAGAAAACCACAAAGGAAAATGCACACACTCACCTGTTAGTAAATGTAAAATCCTTTACAGTACTGTAAACACTGTACTAAGGTGATGGGTAGCTGATTGTGTGTTCAGCTTATTACCTTATTAATGAGAGATGAATTATTGTAATTGCAAATGCCTGAATTACACTTAATACAGGAACAAATTGTCTATGTCGCCTCAGTGTGTAATTTGAATATATTGTTTAGACATCAGTGCTTTCAGTGGGTAACACAGTGGCCTCATGTCATCAAGGTTTTGGGTACAAATCTCCTCTTTGCATTGGAGTCACTGTCAAGTTTGAATCTTCTCCCTGTGCGCTTTTCCTCCCACAGACCCGAGATCTGGTCTGGTTGTTTTTAAATTAGCCGTAGGTGTAGCTGTGAGTTGTGGTCTATCTGTATTAGTCCTGTGATGGACAGTCCAACTGTACAGGGTGTACCCCACCTCTCATTCATGACAGCTATGCTCTCCTGCTCCCCCAGGACCAAGAGTTGGATATTGTACCTCAGATCCATGATTTCCTTGTTTTTTTTCCCATCCATGTCTTTTCTCAGCAGTGTGCATACATGGAGCAACATTCCTGTTTTTCTATTACTTCCCTCGATATGCACTATTATATAACACATTTTTCATGTTTGCAGCTATGGGACTGTGTTAGTGTATCGCATCTGAATAACTCATAATTTCTGGGTTCGTAATATTGTGCAGTATTCCCAGCCTCACACTTTCTTCTTCAGACACTCTCAATCAAACACAATAGCACAAATGGTTTAACATGCCAGAATTAAATCCCCCATTCAAGTGGCGGCATTTGACCAGCTGTGCCACTTAACTTCAATTTTTAATATGAAATGATGTAAAAATGCTTTGTGCTGTCAGTTTAGTGCAATGTTGTTTATTTCTTTATAGTAGAATCCTAAGGAAACATTCCACAGATTTTTTTCTCTTTTCCTGCAGACATCGCCATTTTTTCTTTTTCTTCTTTTTTTTAAGCTCACGTTTGTAAATCTCCATACAAGGATGGAGCTTTTCTGAGAACAGCAGCTGACTTTTAGGAGTAATTTGGACTTTTGAGAGTTAACAAACATGTGAAAATGATTCAGCTCTGAAACTTTCTCTTCCGTTTAACTCATCTAACTCTCAATGGCAGTGAATGACTGTCAAGGTTGGGTTGACATTTTCGCCCAAGAATGTGGCTGTTCCTGTCCATCGGCCCATCGCAGGAGCATCAGGACCATCAGTTGCAAAGCCAACAAACTGTGCGCATATCGTTTCTGCAGAAATGATGCGCTGGTGCATAACTCCAAATCGCAGTTTCACACATTGCAGAAAAACATGGAACATGGCACAGTAACCGCACCAACACACCAACAACTCGGAACCTTATAGTAAATAATGCCAATGTTCTTCCACATACATTATGTTGGCTTCTAAAACTAGATGTCAGGTTTACATGGAGGAATAGTTTATAACAATTTAAATTTCTAACACCCCTGAATCATAAACATACTACATACCGATTCTTTTTTGGCCTCCTCTGATTTATCTGAACTGTCACACTATTTTCAAAGAGAAAAAAATGTGTAAAACTCAGTCTAGGCTGATACCTGATGTGTGGCTCCTGAAAGCTTCGCTCTACACATCTGATGGAGATGACAACAGATTATCAGTTATTTACTGTCTTATTGCAAAAAGATTGCATGTGTGTGACAACTTGACCTATTTCAATCAAGAACTGATAGTAGACACACTCGATCTTATTGCCGTTCTGTTGCTGCCTCAGCACAGCTGGTTTGAACACAGCAGCTGACTGCAAGTGGTTTCAGACCTGATCGCGCTTCCCAAAGCAGGGAGATCACATGGTAGCAATAATTTTGGTCATGCCTCAGTATTCGACCACTCTTTAAACTAGTGTGACTGTACCCTAGGTTATAAATGCACAGAAGATAAACTAGTGATTAAATAAAAAATAAAGTTATTAGAATTTCTGCCTTTTACCTATTATATTCACTTAAAGTCAATTCAGGCTTTTTATAATGTGAAGTAAAGGCCTCAAAATACTACGATCTCCTATGATCCCTGCACATGCTGCAGGGGTATATAAACATGTTGGGAGGGAGGAGAGGTGAGTGGAGAAGAAGTGCTCAGTGTATGACATGAAATCCTGCAGGAGTCCACAGCAGCATAACTAAGGGATAACCCCGAGACCCTGAATCATCTTAGTTATGCATACAATCACAATGCAGCAATCCATCTTGCCTTATTTTTTTTTATCTTTTTTGCCTTGTTGCAACATAAAATATTCAGAAATCAAGGGTATCTGTGACACAGTTCATTGTTGCTTGAAGAGCTGTGGCACAACCAGATGCCTTTGTGCTCTTGAATTCATCAAGATAGCAGCAACCTCCCTCTGTTCTCCACACAGCACAATACACCTCAGTCAGGAAAGAACTGTGTTGTGAAAGGTGGGAGAAGACAGAAACAGCATAAATCGACTCTTTCACGATCAGCCCCCACAATCGAGGCAGAAGACACTCTTCGTCTAAAAAAATCTAAATATATTATGATTAGAAAGGAGCAGATTCAGTCTGAGCAAACTTTAACATCATATGTTAAAATGCATGTGAAGGATTTGTCCTAATATATTGCATTTATTTTGCTTTTTCTCTTCTGTTTCCCCAGTGCTGCAAACGGCCATCCCAGTCTCGCCAGGGAAACGTCTGCGAGTCCAGCTTTTCACACTGCAGCATCACGACTACGCCACCCAGAAGCTCCAGAGGCACAGTAAAACATCACAGGTATGACATTTAATTGCACATGCAGAGACATCCAGGCTTTATGTTGTACTCCCCCTCTGTTCACTGCAGGAAACGGTAATAATGCAGAATATAGCAACAATGGGCAACTTCAATGTCCTTTCCTGTAATCAGCATAGACTCAGTGAAGAGAGAAATTGAATTATCCACATTACAGTGCAGACAAAGCTAATTGCTGATTTATAGAAGAATGATAGTAATTATAATTATAGCTATAAACACATTAATAAGCATATCCATAACAGTCATGAACACAGAGGAGATGAGACAGAGATAAAATCAGAAGAACACGAGCCAGCGCAGACGTGTATATCCCAGTCGGTCTTTCCTCACAGCGTTCAGCGGTGTGTCAGAGCTGCCTGGGATTTTGGCATGTTCGTCAGCAGGAATACACTCAAACACGCACACAGGAGTGTCTGCTTCTGAGAGTTCACATTCAAATCCTTGCCAAAGCTGTTTTTTTCTGTTACAGTACACACGAGCAAACACATTCACAGCACTTTGCAGGGAGCTCCTGCAGATTGAGTTTATACATTAGACCATTTGCCGGTATTTTGATTTCACAGTTCAAGGGAATTTCGGTAAACTAAGCACTGATTTAATAGCAGATTTCATGTCAGCATGTGTGTGAAAAAGACTTTCAATTTATCATTAAATCTAAACTCAACCCCTTTTAAACACTGACCCAGTTGGAAATCGTCAAACATCATGTGTAATGCTTTTATTTTTGGCCTTCTCTTCACTATGGCAGTTCAGTTAAAGGCATCCGCCTGTCAGTGCACACATGGATTTCTACCTGTTACTGCTAAGCAACTCCAGGAGCAGCTGGGGGTTAATCTCCTTTCTTCAAGTGGATTCAAGCAGTAGTTGAGATGAGATTTTCCCAGACAAACCAGAAATAGGATCAGACAACCTTCCAACCACAAAGTCCACCTGTCTAACCTTTTGGCTAAACTCCTGCAAGACTTTCCTCCCTCCTTTTTCTCTATATGTGGTTGTTCTCTGTGAAGAAAAACATTACTTGGTTCCTCTTCCCACAAATGATTTTATTAGAAACCAATCAGGGTTTGTTTTTTGCAACCTCATCAGCTCAGGGAGAGAGTTAGAGGCTATTGTCGGGATCCCAGAGTGTTCTGGGACACCACAGTCTAAAATAGCCAGGAAAAAAAACAGCCCAAGACTAATTCAGTGTTGCAGGATTTATCTCACATAAAAGCCTTTATAGAAAACTCTGCCAGCACTATTAAAAGTCTGACTGTAAGCTTCCAGTTGTTACAGCCAAGAAGCCCATTTTTAGAGGAAAATCTAGCCTTTAAAACTGCAGCGTTTTATGAATGAAAGCTTGAAATGGTGTTTGGACAAAAAAAAGAAAAAACTTTAAAGCTAAACTCAAAATACAAGAGCAGCATGAAGAGGGAATTTGCTTCTTGAGTAAAGCAAGTTTCTTCAAAGGTGTTTTTTTCCTCTTTTTTCTTCTGATGAAACTCCGAGCACATATCCTTTTTCTGCTACATGACCTTCTGTAGTAATCATTTTGGGGACCCTGGAACTTCAGCACAGGGAGCTTTTTTTATCAATTTTTAATTCTCACTTTTCACACTTTCATCACACAAATATAAAGATCGGCGCTTTGGTAGTGATCAACAGTGAATAGGTTCAGCCAGCAAATGGGGGTGGAGCCACTGGTGTGGGATTTTTATAACATGACATAATCAGCATATACATGAAGTTAAAGATGATGAATGTGCTCAGAAAGACTGTTAGAAGCAAGAGAACGTGTCCTGGCTTTTTCACTTATGAGGTGAACAAGAGAGAGCAAGAAACATAGAAAGGTGTTTCTGGGCCAGAAAAGCAAGAGCTTGCTGCAAAGCAATACTGTACATGGATGTTCTGCTAGGACCAATGGATGAACTCGCTGCTAGTAAGCTGAAGTAGGCAAGTTTTAAGTTAAACTTTTCCCAAGTTCAAGACAAGTACTTAAAGCAATGGCAAATGAGAGTTGACTGACATATGAGCAGCTAGTAAATAAATAAACTCTAGGGTTACCAATTTAGCAACTAGAGCTGGAAATGAGCATTAGCAACACGCCAGCTGAAAGAAGCAAATTTAAAATGAGCTGTGATCAAAACAGAGCTGTAAGAATCAATGTGCACTGCTAGCATAACATTACAGAGTAACATGCCAGCACACGTAACTGCAAAAATCTAATTAAACAGCACAAATACTCTTTTTAAATTAATTTAACTTCTTTTATCTTCCTCAGAAGCAGTTCCCTGTCTCACAGCCCTGACCAGAGAATGCGGGCAGCCCATTGGTCAGCTCCTCGCCGGACTCCACCCATACCCAAAGGAAGATTAAACCCAATTGGAGTTTCCAAGTATTCTGGCCCCGCCTACCAGCACCTTCAGGAAGTGGACTCATCTGAGAAGGAAGCAGAAGCACAAAGAGGGTAAGAATTTACTGAAGGTAGATACCTGCAAATTAAAAATGTTAATCCACATAAAAGAATAAATATATATATACACTACCAGTCAAACGTTTGAACACACCTTCACATTTAATGGTTTTTCTTTAATTTCATTACTAAAAGTTGGAGGTACATACTGAAGACATCAAATATATGCAAGATATATGGAGTTATGTAGCAAAGAAAAAAATGATAACTCCATATATGTTTTATAATTTATATTCTTCAAAGTAGCACTGGCCAGCTTTGGCCTTCTCTCAGTGAGCTTCATGATGATGTCGCCTGAAATCGTTTCACATCACAGGTGTGCCTTGTCAGGGTTCATTTGTGGAAATTATTGCCTTCTTAATGGGGTTGGGACCAGCAGTTGTGTTGTCACAAGTCAGGTTGGTACACAGCTGACAGCCCTATTTGACAACTGTTATGTCAAGAGCCAATCAGCTAAGTAAAGAGAAACGACAGCAGTCCATCATTACTATAAGAACTGAACTAAACTACAGTAAATTCCCCGAGTGCAGTCACAAAAACCATCAAGCGCTATGACAAAACTGGCTCACGTGAGGACGCCCCAGGAAAGGAAGACCAAGAGTCACCTCTGCTGCTGAGGATAAATTAATCCGAGTCACCAGCGTCAGAAATTACAGATAATGCCAAACAGAGATCCAGACACATCTCTACATCAACTGTTCAGAGGAAACTGCACAAATACAGCTTTATGGTCAGATAGCTGCAGGAAACCACTACTAAGGAAAAGCAACAAACAGAAGAGATTAGTCTGGGCCAAGAAACAGAAAGAATGGACATTAAACCAGTGGAAATCTGTGCTTTGGTCTGATGAGTCCAAATTTGAGATCTCTGATTCCACCCGCCATGTCTTTTCGCAGTGCAGAAAAGGTAAAGGGATAGTCTCTGCATGCATGGTTCCTACTGTGAAGCATGGAGGGGGAGGTGTGATCTTGTGGGGATGCTTTGCTGGTGACACTTTTGGGGATTTATTCAAAACTTGAAGACACACTGAACCAGCATGGCTACCACAGCATCCTGCAGCGACATGCCATCCCATCCTGCTTAGTTGGACCATTGTTTATTTTTCAACAGGACAATGAAGGAGAGTGATGGAGTACTACACCAGAAGGCCTGGCCTGCACAGTCACCTGACATAAACCCAGTGGAGATGGTTTGGGATGAGCAGAGTGAAGGCAAAAGGGCCAAGTGCTCAGCATCTCTGGAAATTCCTTGAAGCTCATCGAGAGAATGCCAAGAGTGTGCAAAGCAGTAATCAAAGCAAAGCGTGGCTATTTTGAAGAATCTAAAATATAAAACATGTTTTGAGTTATACTGTGTTTAGTTTTCTCCAGACAATGCACAGTGCATTATGGCCAGACATTTCCACTTTAGTCCCATCTTTCCAAAGGACATTGTTCCACGAGTCTTTCGGTTAGTTCAGACACACATGTGCTGCTGTGTTCTTTAGAGAGAGGTTTCTCCTGTCAGCCCTTTAAAACAAGCATGTTCACTTGTCTTCTAATTGTACCGTCATGAACTGAGGCCTGTAGAGTATGACAGGTTTTAGGTGTAAGGATTGCTTCAAGATCGAGGATGGCTGGACATTTTATTGACACCTCATTCTTGGGTTTGTTTGGAGTTTTTTTTTTTTTTTTTTATTTCATTCTGTATCTTCCAAATGCTGAGTCATTTCAATAAAAAAATCATTAACTGAAAAATGCAGCCGTGCTACAGACAGACAGTTTTCAAGAGCGAATATTTCAAAGTCAATTCTGTTTTTATATTTTTAAAAGCCAGCATTTTCTTTCTTTTTTTGTACTTTTCTCCCCTTCATCCATTTTGTTTCCACTCTGCTGAGAAAAGATAAAAACGAGATCACATTATGTCGTGGTCTGCAGCACTGTGGCACAAGTTCAAGGGAAACATTTCACCTGGTCCGTGCTTTTAAGGACTAGATTCAGACTGGACATCTGCATCTTGTCGTACTCTGTCAGGTAAATCACAGATTTCAAATGTAACCCTCCTGTGTTACATGTCTCAGATGAAACTGTATGTGCTTAGCAGCCAGAGCGAATGATTAGCAGAAATTTATTCGGTGTGAAAGGTGCTGTGCTCTGACCCATTTTTTTTGAGGGGGGAATCATGAGTCACTGCTTTACCCACCTGGACTGGCAAGCTTCACTTCAGGCATTCAGGTCCCAACAGTCCCAGCTCAGGATTAATCTCTGCATGACCTACATGCATACTAAAATAAAGAGGCAGAGGAGATGGACACAGCTGGACAAAAAGCTCTCACTCATATAACAGCGTATAAAAATTCAGTGATGTGCATTGGAGGTGAGCTCCCCCTGCTCCTGAAGCTTTATTTACACATCATTTGCATGAATATCGCTAAAGAGCGACTGTTGAGCTGCATAAGTGTGTCCTTAATCAAATGTCCCATTCAAATGGCTCTCGGGTCAACTCAAGTGTTTCCTGCAAATCCTAAAGTCCACCACCAGAAATGAAAATGTCAAACACGAATTTAACGGAATCAGTTACTTTTTTGTTAAATTAATGTAAATAATCATAGTTATTCTCATAGAATTCAGTTGTTTAATTGAAGGAATGCAGCAAACCCACCGTAATAACCACCAGAACTATTTCAGCTAGCTGTGGATTGATATACTGATGGCTAAAACAAGACAACTGACCCAGTTTGGTTAGGCTATGAAGTCTTTATTTTACAACCAGTTTTCCTTTATTGTGTTCAACATTTTCCGAACTTACAAGATGACTTTAAACAAATTGTACAGATCTGCTACATAACCAGAAACTTGTAACAGGATATTTTACAGAGATTTCAGCTTTATAAACAATATGCAAGGACCAAGATTTATAGTCCAGGTCTTAATAACCGAACACGTTTGAAGAGACTGTTGATGCATGCTAGAGAGCCATTGCATTTGCTGAAGTGCAATCTTAAACCATTTTTATTACCGTTTTTTAAAATTATCTACATTCTTCAACAACAACAGATAACACGGTAAGAGCTCTCAGCCTGGATATGGCTGTACTGGAATCCCCTTGAAAATTAACCATTACGTGCTCAGTCAGCAGATTAATCAGTGGCGTCCTAGATTTAAAGTGAAGTAACTGTCTGGTCAGAACAAAAGTGCCCACATGAGCTCAAGTGTTCTCTGATCACAAACCAATCAGCTCATATGTTAGCCCAAGGCTTCTGTGGTAGCTCTGGTAAGCCTGGTAAGGACTCTCTGATTGGGCCAAATAATTCCTCTTTTTAGCCCAAGCAGTCTGTGAGAAACAAACCCTGGCAAACCAGACTTGGATTGGTCCAAATTTCATCAGCTTCAAGTTTATCTTGGTTATCAAAGGGCTCCCACTGGTTGTGATGTGCATTCTGCTGGATCTACGTTTAAGCTTAAATTGAGTAAAGCATTAGTTTAGGCGTGCCAACATCAGAGTATGGGGCATAATATTTGAATGGGGAAGGAGGACCAGAAGAGGATGCTAGGGGATAAGGTGAGATAGAGCCAGAGGAGCTGAAAGAAGAAGAATCCGAGTGCCTGCATTTGCTGCACATATAGAAGATGCTGTAGCTCTACCTTTCATATATATGTTAGTGTGTACAATAGTACTGGCAGGTTAAAGACAAAGCCCACATAATGTCTGAATCCACTGATAATGGCCAATCTACATTTGCCATTTACGTGTCTCCTGCATGCTCTTTGCAGGCAGTTCATCACCTAAATCACACAAAGTACTTACTGTAGTGTCATGAGCAGTGTTGGTCAAGTTACTTGAAAAAAGTAATCAGTAACTAATTACTGATTACTTCCCCCCAAAAGTATTCCCATTACTTTACTGATTACTTATTTTCAAAAGTAATCGGTTACTTAGTTACTGAGTTACTTTTTAAAAACACGATTTACAACCTGAAGAGGTGATAAAGCGATAGATCTTTCAGCCCAATTCTACTTTTTCTGCATAATCCATCATACAAAATGTAATCAAATGGAAAAGTCTATTTTTAAAACTTGTTTTATCAGTTTTAATCTTTTAACTTTATGCATCAAGCAAAAATTACATTATATGCAACATTCTCTGACTGGAAGAAATTAGTTTAACATTTAAACTTATTTTCTGCACATTCCAGCACATAAATAAAATATTTTTTGTGTTTACACTCAGTCTTTCAAATAGATGCAAGTAAAACACAGCAGAAAATAAATAAAGTCAAAGACTCAGCGGTCCTGTTGCTCTATTTTCACCTGTAAAGCAGGAGTGGGGCAGGCGGAGGTTTACCCTGGTGCAGGTGTGCCGCAGCGCTCAGTGGAAGAGTCCGCGAGTTTCTCTGTGAATTTCCCATTATGTGGTAGCGCACTCCCGCACTCGATATATTATCCATTGTTGATCTGCACACAGCTCTTGTCACGAACGTCGCACTCGCTTACGTCACTGTCGTGAGACATTCTTGCAAAAAAATCACGGTTTAAGTAACGCAGTAACGCAGCGTTCCTACGGGAAAGTAACGGTAATCTAATTACCGTTTTTGCAATAGTAACCCCTTACTTTACTCGTTACTTGAAAAAAGTAATCGGATTACAGGAACTGCCCATCTCTGGTCATGAGGAAAGGATAACTGGGGAAATATCCTGGGTTGATTTTTTCGAAGTAGTCCAATGTTCATGTGCAGAAAAACAAACTAAGAGCTTACGTACCCTTTGGTGCTCAAACTTGGCTCAAATCCTTCTGCCCTTGTCCAGAGAATATCCGTGCGCTCCACTGCACTGCATTCCAACTCCCTGTCATGGAAACGCACACTCATGCATGCTTTCACAGATGCTGCATGAAAATCCCACATAGTTCGGGTACGAACACGTGAGCAGGTTGTGCAAAATATACAGGAGGTCATGCTTACTCGCTTACTCAGTCTCACACTTAGTACTCACATGCTCAAACGCATGTATTCAGACTGAGTCACTGACCTGCACGCACTCGCTCACCTACTCGCTTACTCGCCACCTAATGTAAGATTTCACATAAGAGCAGGTGGACCGACAGACAGCAGCATCGCTCTCCCATAATACGGTTGTCTGGGTTGCCATGGAGACATTTGCCCATTGCTGCATAGAGTCTGAGTGAGATAGAGAGGCATAAGCTTCGGGATACAAGTAGTTTGTTTTTTTTAAATGCAGTAACCTTTAAGAAAACGGCAGCAAAGAAGTAAAAAGTCATGAAAGAGAAGACAACGTGACAGTTTGGAAATGTTTTAAAGAAAGGCTGCTCGTTTCTTTTTCACACCTCTCTGGGAAACCTAGTGTTATCTCAACAAAATGGATGACGGAGAGAAGTTGCATGAATTTATTTGTTTTCTTTTTCTGTGGGACATGCTGGATTTTCCCTCCTCTCGATTTGTCGTATATGCACAACCTTCAATTAGAGAAAACACTGCTTTTTTAAGTCTTGATGAGTAGGCGTGCACACCTACCTGCAAATAAAATGCACACATGCTCCTTCTTTGTACGTTTCTCAGTGTTGTAAGATGACTGCGTCGTTTAACAAAAGGGATCGTATTCTGAATTTATCAACAGAAACAAGGGATATATTAAGAAATGATCTGTAGGGCAATAGATTAATGAAAATGACTGTTAACACTTGTACATGTAATGAGCTCCCATTAAAGATAAAAGGCTGGTCACTTATCTCACCTCACTTGCACACAATCTCTCTGTAATTCCCCCGTAGCTGCTGCCGCTTCGCTCCGGGGTCTATATTTGAACTGTGCTTCATAGACTTTTGCAATCTGATTGTGTTTCAGCCCATCAAAAGAGAGATTTGTCTGTGAATGTTATCTTGGGAATTAGCACCCTCGCATCATCCTCTCTTATCGCTTGCAGGATCCTCTCTGTGGGCCCACTAAACCTCCGCTGTCGTTTTCGGAGAGGTTTTCATGTCTCGGAAAAACACTGCGGAGATAAAACAAGGATGCGATTTCCTTTGAGTCTGAAAAGGCACCTTCTCCACCCACCGCTATTTTTGCACACTTTGATGGAGAGCAGAAGCGTGTGTGATGAGGGTATCATAAGGAAGAGGGACCCCAAGTTTAATCTGAACATGGCAATAAAGGCTTGGCTTGGCAAAGGATTATGAATTATTACACAAAGATAATGAAGCTCTGCTCTTGATTACAGCTGAATTTAAACACTGATAATGCTGAGGGGAATGGTCAGTCCTGGAAAGAGGACGAAAGCGTTTATATTCAAGAAAGACAGAATAACAAGACCCAAGTGCCTATACTGTTGCACAAAAAATCAGACTTCTCCACACTTTTATTCATTTTCCATACAGACGCTCGCCATAATTGACACAAAGAAAGTAGAGGCTAAAGTTACAATGGAGATAAAAGTGTGGAATAACAGTAGTGGTTTAATAAGCAGTTATTGCCTTTATTGAGCTGATACAGGCAGGTTAGTGCCCGCTTTCTGCATAAGCGAGATTTTTATGTCTATATAAAGAAGACAAACAAATCCTCTGATTGCAAAAAGATTGCGTACAAGTCTGTGAGAAAATGACCCTACTTCTTACTCGATTTGCGGTGTCAGTAAATATTTTGCTAACATGTTTATGCTCTCAGTTATTACACCCAAGTATTAGCTTTTACAGCAGGATGTTTTGCCTTGTAATGTATAGAGTTATTTACCAACTATAGCAGGTATGTGCGTTAGCATATGGACAGGGTGACAGCCAAAGTGTCAAACTTACACCTTCAAAGACGTCCAACATTCTCTGGTGCTTAAATCCATCTTTTTGCACCTTATTGCTGACTAAATATTAGTTAGGTTTCATTTTTTCACCATGTAACTGTAAGCTAGCAATCGATTTCTACTTCAAAGTTCACGATTTCCACCCAGTGCCAGCATTTACAAACATATAAGGGTGTAAGCCATGTTTGTGGACTGATCTCTGTGAGTTCTGTGCCAGAGTTTCAGTTAGCAATCACAGGTGAATCACAAATCACAATTATCACAAATAATCATGATTTTATTTTAATATCTTCAATCATAAGCCTTTCCTAACTATTACCAAGAGTTGTATCAGCCCAATATCAACTTTGTCTTTGCAGCAACCAAATTTCGGGGCACTCCAAACGACAGTGTCGGACTGGTATCTCCGTCTTCCTTTCCCTCTATTCCAAAAACGTCTCACGCATCTATAACCTTGCATCGAACCTGCTTCACATGAATATGAAAATGCAATGAGCCTTTTATATGTCTGTGTATTAGCAAATGTTCATCAGTATTGCTGTTGGAGCAGTGCAACAGGATAAGTGACAGCAGTGCATCTTTGCATCAAGCCAGACTTGAAAATGACACAAATACTGATGGTTTCGGTCTCTCTTGGCAGTCAGCTTTCACACCCCAAAGTTAAAACTGTTCTGTATTCTCACTGTGAGGAAGCTAAAAGCAGTGGCTCCTGTTACGTTGCTGTCTCACCGCACCTTTTACTTTGAATGCTCTGACAACAAATAAATAAATAACACTCCAGACAGCAGTGTTTTTTACTCCGTGAGCCGATCTCTGCCTGTAACCTGGTTTCTTGTGTTCATGTAAATGCCGCCACTGATTGTGAAAGAGTAGCGGGCACACAATGAAAGGTATAATTTGGCTAGGCTGAGCACGAGGACAAACAAGCTAAGGCTAATGGGAACAGACAGACTAAATCAGTAGAGCACAGAAATGGAAATGGACTGAAATACTGATTTACCCAGCAGCGCCATTTGAACATACAGTACTATACACGGGATGTTGACAGGTAAAGCAGCACAAGTCAGATTTGTGAAAACATTCAAATCTGAGGCGTGAGGAAGAAGAAGCAGGCACTGAGTATTATGGTGCTGATTTAAAAACGTGAGTGCTGTTTTGCACTTTATGTGCACAAAAGCTTTTCAAACTGAACGATCTTGACCGAAAACCGCTTTCTGCTTTTTTTAAGGAGGAAAAATTAGCACACATGATGTGACTGCCTCAGTCGTCCTTGAGCAAAGCTCGAGTCATTAAAATCAATAATTAAAAAATGAACTCTCTGTTACCTCCTTACTTATGTAAAGGAGTTGAGGGTTTTTTTTGAGTGCATGTGTGCAGACTTGGATATAAAGAGATGAAAGAAAAATGTCAGACTCATCTTCTTCCCCCTCCGCATCCGTGGTTAGCCTGTGAGATGGCAGAGGGCGGAGAGCTGCGCCTGTGTGTATTCTGTCAGGGCTTCAACGTGGGAGTTTGAAAAAGCGATTGAGTTTAAAACACACCCGAGACACGATGACTTCTCCAAGTGAAGTGTGGAAGTTTTTATCCAGCTGAATAACCTTCACTCCTTTCCTTTTCCTTTTTTGTCTCTGTCTTGTTTGTCTTCATTCCCCATTTTCCTTCTTCTCTAGTGTCCAAGTGCAGGGAGAGAACCAGTGTGATGACACCTTCCTACATATGCAAGCTCCTGCGATGCAGGCATTGTCGCCATCGCCTTGGAGCGGCTGCGTGGAGGTACGCGCACATCTGTGTCCTCCATCTGAACCCAATCCCACCACTCGCAGCCTGAGAAGGCCGGGGCGCCGTCAAAGCCACTCCCCACCTCCCCCGTTCCGCTCCTGCTCTATTCCCATCATTCCATCTGTGCAGTGTCACCATGACAATGAGGTGTCTTGCATGCAAACCACCCCAGCGACCACAACGATGTCAGTCACCTGTGGGGCCACGCCTTGCAAGGAGGAGAAGAAAGAAAAGGCAGCGCACGCCCCGTTGTTTTCATCTTCCTGCTCGTCTGCCATTGGACGGCAGCAAGATGAGGTGGCCCTGCTGCTCGAAGAGGCACAGGAGCAACTCAGGGCGTTGGCGCTGGCTCACAGGAAGCAGGAGGGGGGTGGAGTCTTCACCGGCACCTCAACGGTTGCACTGGTGGAAGCCAGAGAAACTGTTTGCTTCCTGAACGTTAACGGAGGAAGTGCCGGGGCGCTGAGCTGTAACGGACCCACGCAGACCCAGCTACTCAGCCCCAGCCTATCACACAGAGACCTGGGCCAAACCGGCCAATGAGAGGGCATGATTTAGGACATTCACTTACTGTTTTACACTGTTTGACAGACTCTGGTGTTCTGCATCTGTGGGATGACAATGAAAATGCTGAATTAAAAAACAAAAAAGAAAAATGTAATATCATGGATAATCCGAAATGTGCTGATGATATGCATACTGTATGTACACGAGCATACAAACACTTCTCGAGTGGCCGCCTTTACACCGACTGACAGTATGGAAAAAGAAAAAAAAAATATTCACATGCATTTATTTACCAAACAAGAGAAACACTTCTACTTAGACAAAAAGAAACCAAATAGTCTGTCAGATCCATGGTGTTTTTAATTGTAAAAAGAATATATAAATATATATATATAAATATATATGGATATAAATATATGGAATTCAAAAGTGACCAAGTAAAGTTGAAGAACACAGGAATGATGTAACTATTTTTGTTTGTTTTTTCGTTCTCTTGGTTTTGTATTCTCACATTTTGGTTCTGGCTCGATGAAGAACTCCATTACTGTCCCGCCGCACGTCCGCGAGTCGTGAATCGGATTCGGCGAGCCTGCGCGGAATCAAAAACGACCAACGAGAAAAAGGAGCCACCACACCAATTTCACCCCCCTTTGCCTTTTGAAAAACTGTTACCCAGCCAAGAATTACAACGCAGCCGTCTGTGGTAATCAAAAACACTTTGAGGATTTACGACGCAAAACAAAAACTCCCCAGCTTTGTGTGTGCGCGTGTGTGTGTCTGTGCTGGGAAGCCACGAGGGACGAGACAAGGAAAAACTAGGGTTTCATTTGGAGCCACTCGGATTTGAGAGGGCAGATTGTGGAGATACTGACTCCAGTTTGGCCAGTGTTGGAAACCAGTCTAGATTATTTTTGTTTTTATTACAAATTATATTTTCACACTCATATGCACACACGCTCGCCTGTGAATTATTATTTGGTTGCTTGAACGAATGAACAGAAGGACTGAGAAGGACAGTGGGCTACGGGGCTCTACGGGAGTGGATGTTTGTTTTATTTTCCATTTTTTTGGTTATTAATGAACAATGCTGCTTTCTGGGGCTGATGGGAGGGACAACCACATGGTTTTGGTATTGAAACAAGAAATAAATGTCTCTATGTTGTATCCTATGAATTGGAAGCTTTTGAATCTCTGTATGAAGTTACAGCCAAATGTCTCTGGTGTCACAAAGTATAAAAACAATGGTTGCAATTCTGGTAAAGACTTTTCCAAAATAACTGTTGTTTTGATTGATTGCTTGAAAGACAGCAACCTGCCCGTAGATGCATGCTGGATAACATCACTCTGAGGGTTTACACTGACAGTGTTACTTTTGACCTTTTCACAACTTCACCAGCTTGAAGACATCTGGGATCAGCATTCATGAAGCACTTTATTTTGTGGAGCTCCTGATTTTCTGTGCACTGAATACCAAAATGTTTTAAAATGTGGTGCCGTTTCCTGGCTGTAGATGGACAGCTACAGCCATTTTTATAAATTAAGCCAACAACCCTCAGAAAAATGTTCACCACTGTGGGAAAGCCCAGGAATTTGTTTTTCAGGCGGAGAAAAGCGCCATATGGATGGGAATGTGTCAGTATTCATTCAAATTCGTGTGACACAACTGCAAACTTATGTAAAACCTACCAAAATGAAATAGAATCGATAGTTAAATATCAAACCCATTTTAAATAAAGTATATCAGACTCAGGAATAAATGCAACTTAATTGTTAAAGTGAACTAAATCTTGAACTTTGCACAGAAGAAGTAAGATACACATCTTCTTCTTCAACGTGGCTTTAAAGCCATCAGAATCTCTAAAACAAGGAAATGATGACCTGCTTTTAGAGTTTTGCTAGTCTAACTGTAGTACATATGAACCAACCATGACCTGTAATCTATTACTTTGTGTTTCCAGACACAGATTCTCATATGTATGAATCACACTGACATATTTCCCACATTCTAAAAAAAGGGGGGGAAAAAATCCACATTTGGTGGTTTTGTTGTTGGTGGAAATCATTTTGCAGTTTGAAGCAGAGACTCCAGTTTAACAGTTCAAGTCACACACTTCAAAGCTTTTCACACATCGTTTGTGTTTCTTTTTTATTGTGTTATTAATTCAAACTGCATTAGGGAGTAAGATGTAGCTGTTTTAAAACTACTGGGTTAGGTCTACTTAAAACTACAATAACTCCAATTCTTTTCAAGCACTGTTTTTTGGTTGCCATGGTGATGCATCCCTGCTTTGTCTATGTGCTCCCAACATAAAACTTACTTCTGTTTATAACTATTCTAAAAATAAATTTACTTATAAAGTCGCTTTTTTGCATGACAGTCAGCACAGCACCTTTTCATGACTGTTTCACAGGCTGCTTTGAGCCTGAGCTCGGACAACACGCATGAAAACACTCAACATGAAAACCCTTAACAATGTTAACGACAACCAAACATGCAGTATTTTTTGTTAGCCTCGTGTCTCTCCACGACACTTTCCCGTACACATGACCAGCACTCCTGAGAGGTCTGATTCATTAGACTAAATTCAAAGAAATTTGAACTCTTTCAGCATGCACTTTTCAAATTTCTCACAATGGGGATCCTTTTCCATTTTTTCTTTTAATAAATGCCTGAATGGCATGGCTAAATCTAATTCACACATAGAAAAAAATTGTCTATATCCGGCTTGCTTTAATTCTTTGTTCCTTTTGTTTATTTGAAGGCTTATGTTCCAACTAAACCCTCAAAAAGGTTCTTTTCTATTTTTCTCTGAAGTTTTGGCTGTTTGACACGAATGTCCAACTATAATTTCTTTACCCATAGAAAGTGCTAATGGCTTGGAATGTGGAGGCAGAAAAAAAACGTGGATTTCTTCATTTGTCTGATTGCTAGCTTCACTGTGAGCTGTTATCAGGTTAAAGTCTGACAGCACTGTGTAAATTTGAGTTCTTATCTGAGCCAACTGGACTCTGCATCAAATACCAGTTTTTACAACATTTATGAAATGTTTCAAAATTAAAAAAAAAAACAGCAAAGCTTTGGAGGTTCAAAGAGCAGTAAGTCATGGCCTGATGACAAACAGGCATTTCCATTTAACTGACACTTCTATAAGAGTTATTACTGCACCTTGAGAAAACTGTAATTACTTTTGGCATGCAGGTACTTCAGCACAATGTACATCTGAGCATAAGCAATTATACAACAGAAGAGAGGGAAAAACTAATTTAATGGAGACGTCTCTGCTCCTCTCTGAACATCTTTAAATGGTTTTCCTAGCAACTGAAGGTCGCTTGCTGCATAACTTCACATTGTGCTAGTCATGAGAAGCAGCAAAGTAATAGAAATGAGGGCGTTTATTTGATTAGAAAAACTTGATTGACTTTCTTTTTATTACTCAAAGATTTAGAGAGCATATCTGCCTCTCTTCATTAGAGTCAAAATGCATTTAAAGTTTAATTAGGTGTATGCAAAGACTACATTTAACCATGTGCTGTAAAGAATTCATATTTCTCTTTAATTTTTCTTTGGCAACAATGCCTTGTTCACCATATGCCATCAAAATCTTTAACTCCAAAATCTTAAACGTTTCACAGCTAAGGTTCAAGGTTCTGTATTCGTCACATGCAAAGTATAACACACAGTGAAATGTAACCTGACATGCTCTTCAACGAAGATGGTGGGGGGGACGACATTATATATAATATATGCAATATATACTATATATGCACACATGCTACGGCAAGGAAGAGCCAGGACAACAGCTCGGGGGGAGATATTGTCATGTAGTAGGATCCACTGTGGATCCTATAACAGAGAGACAGAACTGTACAAGGTGCACTCTCACAATATGAGACGAGCACCACCGAGGCTGGAGATAGAGCACGTGGAGTCCAGGAATTGAAGAATTGTTGTTTCTGAGTCAGTCACACATGCATGTCTTCAAACAGTGATGCCAGAGTACATGGGGAGATGGTGGTGATATGGACCTCTTATTCACGAGGTTTATGATCAAGCTTGTAAGCATTAGCTGATCATTTCAGTACTGCATGTCCTAAGGCACATGAATCACTAATACCCAAGGCTCGCAGAATCAGACTTTGTAAGAGCAATTACTCATAGCACTGCTTTTATATACAGTATAACTACATTTGTTTTTAATGAATCCATAAAATCATTTATGATTCAAAGTCTGAGTTTAAGCAGATGATTTATTGGAATACAATTCCTCTTCATGCTACAAGCCTATGCAGGCGGGGTGCAGTTTTGATGTTTCTAACACAGAAACTGCCTACGAGTGCCTGCAGAAAGACGTCTCTTTTCCGTTAACAGATGCAAAGATTTATGCTCTCTGCTGCAGTTTAGCTACTTCAGCTGTATTCAGTCAGGTGGCTAAAAGTGAGGTAGTTAACACAATCAGTACAGTGCCTGTTTGTGTGTGTGTGCCTGAGAGTGTGTTTGTGTGTGTGCCTGAGAGTGTGTTTGTGTGTGTGCCTGAGTGTGTATGTGTGTGTGCCTGAGTGTGTATGTGTGCGTGTGTGCGACTGATGGCAGGGAATAGAGGTTAGACCATCAGGCCAGAGAGATAAGAGCTATAGTTTGATCCTCCCAAAGCACTCGACTGCCAGCCCAGCCAAGCCCATCAGACCTCATCTGAACTGCATGCCAGTTCACTGACAGTGTTTGTTTGCATTTTTATGGATAGATAGTGTGAGTGTGTGTGTGTGCGTGTGTGTTTTAAATGCTTGCGTGTCAACATCTCTTTCTTTACTCTTCCAGCCATATGCCCTCCTATCCTTACACAAACTCCTGCAGCATGGATAGCTACACATCTAGATAACAAGCACACTTAAATATAGAGCAATGAGACTTTGCTCCCGAAGGTGGTTTGAACTGGATCAAGTCAGAGATATATACAGAGAGTCTGAGACAGTGAAATAGGAGCTATGAAGTGCATACTGTCAGCTTGGCTCTAATTCAGGCTGTTTCCCTCTTTAAAGCACAAGATCCTGGATGGTGACAGAAGAGCTAATCCTTATAGCGACAGTGGGCTGTGGGCTGGGTAATCACTATAGGAAAGAGTGTATGTGTGTGTGTCAGTGCCTTTCCTAATTTGCAATTCCAAAAAAAGTTGGAACACTATGTAAAAGAAAAACAGAATGAAATGATTTCTGTATTCACAACAGAACATAGAAAACATATCAAATGTTTAAACTGATGTACTATTTTCTGTAAAATATTAGCTCATTTTAAATTCTATGCCAGCAACACATATCATAGATGTTGGCAACAAAAGGCTGAAAAAGTAACCAGTGTTAAAACGAAAGAGCAGGATGAACATTTTGCATCTAATAAGGTTAATTAACAGGTCAGTAACATGATGGGTATAAAAAGAGCATCTTAGAGAGACACAGTTTGTCAGAAGTAAAGATGGGCAGGGGTTCTCCAATCTGCAAAAACCTGCATTTATAAATTGCAAAAAATGTCATAATAGTGTTTCTTAATGGAAAATAATGACTTTGAACATCTCCTCATCCACAGTACACAATGTTACCAAACGTGTCAGAGAATCTGTAGAAATCTCTGGATGCAAGGAACAATAATGGCTTTGGAATTGGCAGCTTGCCAATCTGGGACAACATCTGGAAAAGTGCCTCCGGTACAGAAAGGTATATAAAGGTTTAAGAGCAACATCATCTCCGATTCTATGCCTTTTTCAGGGAAGGCCTTTCATATTTCAGAAACCACATCTGACTTTATTGTAACAACCTGACTTCGAAAAGTCCAAGTGCTGAAATGACCTGCCTGAAGTCCTGACCTTTCACCGACTGAGACCGTTTGGAGCATCATGAAACCAAAGATACGAAGACCAGGACTTTGTGAGCAGCTAGAATCCTCTAGCACGCTCATTCCGAAACTGCGGTACGTGTACCACTGGAGGTACATGAGCTCCCTCTATGCGATTAAATAATATACCATGATCTGACTGGGGAATTTCAGAAAAATTTAAATGTACAGCTCTGCTATCACTTCCAACATAAATGTAAATATACAACATATACAACATTCATTTATAAATATACAACATAAATATAAATGGAGACAGGACACTAACCAGCAGTGACGTTCTTACGGTTACTGAAGTTGGGCTAGCTTAGCATATAATGATGTGCTGCGTAGTGGTTAGCTACACAGCTATGGTTAGCTTTCTTTTTTTTCAAGGGGCTTGTTTAGATTCAGTAGAACAAAGCATTGAAACATGTTAAAAACACAACAGCCTTAACAAACGCAGAGTATTTTGGACCCGAAAGCATGGTTCATCACTTAAAGACCAGATATCCCACCTGCTGTGAATGTTTTAATGCACTACGGTTGTTATTGCCACCACTTGTCACATCCTGTTTATGACAGTTAAAATAAAAAACATCATGTCAGAATTAAAATTGTCTTGTGTAAACTGTATATTGTGTTAAATAGGCCTATACTACTGTACTTTAATGTCGGTCATAAGGGTGGTACTGGCCATATATGAGGTGGTACTCATTGTGAAATGTTTGAGAACAACTGCTCCAGCAGACAAGAATAGCAAAACATTCCTCATGTTTGAAATTTAGCTGGTGAGTTATAAAAGAAGTGACCCTCTCATGAAGGACCAAACTACCTACAGAGACCACCACACTTTTTTTAACCTGTTTTTACCTGTTATATGGCAGCACGGTGGCACCGTGGTTAGCACTGAAGAAGGTGCCGAGTTCAATTCCACCATCAGGTCGCGGTCTTTCTGTGTGGAGTTTGGATATTCTCCCTGGGCTTCCTCCAAAGACATGCAGTGGTGGGAGTTGTGCAATGGGGATAGGTTAATTGGAAACTCTAAATTGCCCATAGGTGTGAAAGTGAATGCGAATGTCTTTGCACTCACATTCAGACTGGCGACCTGGGCCTCTTGGCCCCAAGACAGCTGGGATAGGCTCCAGCCCCCCCGGAACCTGAAAAGGATAAGCGGCAGACAATGAATGGATAGATACCTGTTATAGCTGATCTAAAGTTGAGCTTTTTAACATGGAAGTCTGAAGAGACTTTTGGAGCCAAAGGAGTGCAGTTTCTGGCACTTCCACTTTGGCTAAGTATTTCAGCGCCAGTTGTTGCAGTTTGTTTCTTTCAAGCCTTTTGGCTGTTCTCACCCTTGAAAGATGGAGTCCACCAATAATTTCATAACACATGTTACTAATAATTAATAATCTTTTTCCAGTTTAAATTAAAAAATTTAATTAATTTCAATTTGTTTATTTTAAAATGTGGTAGGATTAAAAAAAACATCTAAGCATATCTGGAAAAAGAAAGATCGGATTCCAACACCCACAAATGTGCACAGAGAGCTAAGATTAGCCCGTCATTCAAGACAGACTATGCAGAATTTTACTTTAATTTGCCAGCTCCATTTTCTGGTGTCAGGACCAACCAGGAGCAAATCCATTTGCATGTGCAGATCAACTAATCTTCACATGGTTTCAGGAACATAGCAGCCTATAATGAGTGGTTTCAGGGCAGATACAGTAAAGCACGCTTGCATAATGCCTAAATGACAGTGTGTGTGGTACTCAAATTACAGCATCTCAGTACGTAGTGTGAGGCAACACGTTAAGTGTTTCAGCGTATTCACTTTCAATATTTCATATGAATTACAGCGTACCTGTGGTTTTTCTTTTTTCTTGCTTTATTTGTCGATGCGGTGCCGCCATCCAAGTTAATTTGTTTGAGCAAAATACTTTTAAATTCTCAGTTTGAAAAACATCACAAATGAAAAGCAAAGCCTTGCACATCTCAAGCTGTGAGCGCTCAATTCCTCCTGATGAGCAGGAAAGTTGCTAAGCAGATGCAGGTGCTGGAAACTCTTTTAAAGATCTACTTTATTATTACAGAAACTCAGATCCATATATTAGATTAAAAGTGCAGGATGTCATATGAATAGGATCAATTTCTTGAAACCCTGGTGGCATTTAGACATAAATCCAGATCAAACAAGTTTGCCGCAGCCTGTTATATTCATTCAAGAAGGAAAAAGAGAACAAAAAATATGATTCTACAATTTAGAAGTAACACATTTTAACAAAAGAACAAAATACAGCATCATTTTTACCTCTTAAGGTTTATGAATAAAAAGAACAAATTCTACTCTCAACTCTTTTTTTTCAATAGCTAGTAACTCATTTCAAATCTAAATCCTGTTTAATTCATCTTTTTTCTTGTTCAGGACTATTTTAAGATATTCGGCAATAAAATAATCAAAAGTACAGATTTATGTTTTATTTTACTCTGTCTGGCATTATGAAAGTACATGCTGCATAACAGATGGTACATCTTTTGCATATAAAACACGTGCCCTCCTATCCGTAAACAAACAGTTGGAATGTGTGTTAAACATTATTGAATTAAAGTTAATCAGAATTCTGCTTGGACACAGGAAATCTTTGAAGTTCCAGAAACTAATGATGGTTCAACGCTGCATTAAAGGTGCATCGTCTGGCTCACCAGTGTTATTGCTAGATCACTGGGTTTCATGACCACTTGTGTTAGACAAATCCAATTTTGTCTCTGTCCTCTTAAAAATGTAATGTGAATATGAGAAGAAGATATAAAATTCATGAGAGGTGTTAAGATCACGAGAATAAGAAAGCACTTATAGAATACTGAAAACAGTTAACATGATAGTGGATTTTATTCTTTATTTTTATGGCCAATACCCAGCAAACAGGGTGGAAACCCCACCAGAGACTCCTTGGTCAGAACTGGTCATTGTATGATGGCAAAACTCTGTTTTCACATCAACCAGCACTCACATCAGTCTCTGAGAGAGGGAGAAATATTGATTACTAGAACTGTTTAAAAAAATATTAACACTTTAATAAGGCTACGTGTTTTTAAAAAAGATATATAGGCATTTAAAGCAAACTCATTCATTTCTCTTTAAGCCGGTGGTGGCCAGACTTAGCCCATTATGTTAATTTAGTTCACTTGTTTGGCTTCACTGTGGCAGTTACTTTGGCTTATTCTTCTGGCTTTCACCTAAGGCACATTTAATCCAAAAAGCACATCTGTGATGTTTTTTGTGTCTACTGTGTGCTAGAAGTTTTACTCAAGAGGTTGGATGTAAAAAACAAACTCTCTAGAACTTGGACTCTGACCTAATAGTTGTGTTGCACAAAGTTAGTAATGCATGCAACGCACCCAAAAAGTGTGATTTAAAAGTTGTGTTTTCTGTCGGTTAGCAATACAGAAAAACAACTGCCAGGTACAGATTGCAAGGTGGAGAAGCACATCATCTCTTTTATCAAGATTTTCACAAAGAAAGCAAAAAACAGAAGAAAAAGGAGTGAAATGAGCATACTGTGATCTATGATTTAAAAATAAGTTTAAACTACTTAAAGTCCCCTTTGTGTTAGTTATCCAGTGAGCACTGAATATCTGATTACATAGATCCAGTGGAAAAAAAGGCTGTGTACATAATGTGTGAGCGGACATAGGTGCAAAATTTGTGTTTAAGGCACCGCACTGGAATGGGCTTTTCTCTTACCTTTTACTGTGGCTAGTAAACTGCCTCGTTTTCCTCTTTTTGGTTATTTTTATTGAGTTTAGATAAAGTTTAGCTTAAAGTGGGAGCACCACACAAGAAGTATATTTACATCACATAAAATCTAAGTAAATTGACAATAGCAATAGTCAGCAGTGCAAGTATGGACTTTTGTCACACACGCTGTGAAGTTATTAACGGTGCTAATATAAACAGGCTGATAATAATAATAATAATAATACATTTTATTTGAAAGCGCCTTTCAGAACACCCAAGGACACTTTACATGGTAGAATAATAAAAGCACCATAAAAGCAAGCAGTTTACACAATCATAAAAGCACAAGACATAAAAGAAATTTTAAAAAAAAAGGAGAGTGAATGGCTGCACAGGCTTGGAACACCCATGTGAGCTGCATTAGCTGATGACACTTCCATGTCAGGTCTATGCTATGCTATACTCTATGCTAGGCTAGGACTATGACATTTGGGTCACAATATTTACAAAACATACATATTCATGGAACAGGTATTGTTAGGGTCGGTACTGAGAAATCTGCTCTGTATAGCTGCATGAGAAGCAGTGTGCAACTATTCTCACAACTTACCACTCAGACTGGGATAAAAGCTGGCTGGTTAAGGTAGCTCAAATGTTCCCCTCCCCAGACACATCCTGCAGCTCCTCCTGCAGTGCAAATGCATTTCCAGCTGAGACTGAATAAGTCTTTCCATCAGGGTGTTCTGGGTCTTTCCTCTGTGTTTTCCTAGTAAGTGGAAGGGAAACCCTCTAAAGGGCATAATCAAGGAAGCACCCAAATAACATTCAGACTTTATTTTCTTTGTACGTGCATAGCATTTGTGAGTAAAATTAAAGCAGAGTTCTCAGAGTAACATTTATTGAAAATTGGAAAATGCAGTATTTTGAAATGCTTGGACACTGCTGACATAATGGACAGGTTTTTGATGGGGCTCCCACACAAATGCAAAGCAGAAGATGAAGCATCACCAAATATGTTTCCAAACTAACTTCCTTTCAAGCCAAAGTCTAGAACATATGATGAAGCATATCTTGCCTTTGGTTTCACCTGCACAACAGCAGTGCCAAGCAGAATTAGTTTCCCCTGCATCTGGAGCACGCGCTGGGCTGTCCAGATCATGGACAAACAGTATCCCACATTCCTGATTTTTAGTTCACAAACTCTTATGATGAAATTTTGGCTCTTTATACATTAAAGTTACAGTGAGATACAAATAACATCAGGCTGATCCTGCCACAATTTGTTCCCCCGGTTCAAATCACAGACAAACAGGATCCCACAGTTGTTTATGTTTTTGCACAGAGGCATTTTTTGAAAAATGTATTGATAGCAATGTTGAATATTATTACACAGTAAAAACAACAACAACAAAACAACTATATGTAAAATAATTACACCATAAAGATGTTTTTTTTAGTGGCCTATTTTATTGCAACCTGTAATTTATTGCAGTTTACTTTTATTTGTTTAATTGTTTATAAAAGGTTTGAGGTGTGGAATAAACAGCAGTGGAGTTTGAAAACAAAATATGGGTGTGTGTGGTTGGAGGACGTGTTTGTGGTGGGGGGAGGCCTTGTAAAACAAAGGGGGGCCTAGCAAAAAAAGTTGGGGAACCACTGGTCTACAGTAATGTTTAGGTTACTTTTACTTCACTCACTGGAATGTTGTGGCTGACCGGTTTGTTTTTTATGCATACATATAACCAAACTAAAGCATCATAACTAAAATCTTTTTTAAAAATCCAAGTTTCAAGGTTTCCAGGTTGTGCTGAAGGAAACAGTATTTGTGTTTTGTTAGTCTGAAGAAAACAAATAAGATACACTTCTCTGCTTCAAGCTGAATCTGTCTTTCTGTATCCTTAAAGCATCCGTTTAAATCAATTCAGCTGCCAGCACTGCTGTTTTTATGATCATATATATTCTGTGTCTCCGCAATATTACAAATTAATGGCGCTTAGCCAGAGTTTAATCAGGAGGACCGCTTTATTATTGCTCCTCTATTCCTTCATTCATTATGCCCTCGATGCCACACCCCTTTGCTCCTGTCCGTTCATTTCTTCTCCCGCTTCTCTCTGTTAACCTTTAAATTTAAAATCCAAGAGGCATCTCTCTTCTGGTTCACAGCATCCAATCAAGTAGTCCTAAAATTTCTCTCTTATCCAAATGAGAGCAAATTAATAATCCCCACCATTCATCAGTCCAGTTAGCTGCAACACTACCCTGCTTGTCTCCACTGCTCACACAGATACTGTCATGTAATTACCATCTTCCACAGCAACAACGGCACCAGTAAGTCATTTGCAAATGCACAATAATTACAAGGAAGCACACAGGCAGCGAGCCCTCTTTTCTGTTTAAGCAGTGTTTTCTGGGGTGAACTGAAAATCAGCCTAATCGTAGATTTGTTTTTTCTTTTTGCCTGTGCCGTTTGGTTCTTTTCTTTGTCTGAAAGCCAAGAAAGATGCCCAACGGATTTACTTTACCAAGTGGATCATCATAACCTTGCCATGCTGGTTCATTTGACTGACCTTTGTTATTATTATTTATATATTTTATTTTAAGTTGTTACAGGCGGGAGCTCGACGGGGCAGACATGACTGGGGGATAGGAA